GAGATTAGCATAGATTGTAAGCAAATAAAAACAAACGCAATAGTTCGTTATGAGAGAAATGGCGCCGGTGAGACGCACGTCGAAGAAGAACGGAATAAGGTAGAAACAAAAAATTTTTCCTGATGAAAGAAGAGAGTCTACTCTTTCTTTTGGTGTGTTCGGTGTTTACATAGTCATAGCACAAACTATTCTGTGGCTCTAGAAAAATCAGTCAAAATGCTCAAAAAACTCTGGCAGTATGGGACTCTGTTCTGAAAATGGCTGCCAGTCAATGAGTTAACTGTGTCCAATAAATGTAATTTTTTATACTTCTGATCCACTCTGGTTTATTCTCAGGTTTCCAACTAAAGAACCGGGTTAACATGTCCCTCTAAGTGCCCCCCCGCGGGGGTCCGGTGGGACTCAGGGGGCTCAGCCCTTCCTGTTTACGGCTCTGATGGGAGCTGGAAATCCCAGCAGCTATTCCCGTCCCACATCAACCTGCCGATGTGTTAATTGAAGGTAATTAGGCCCCTCCCAGGAAGAGCCGGCCTGTCTTATCAGTGCAGAGGAATGTGGGGGGGGGGGGGGGGGGGGACTCACCCCTGGGGGGGTCTGCTGACCGGGGGTGGACCACCTCTGTGTACTCCACATCGGGTTCGTTAGACACAGTGCTCTCCTCCTCGTTGTCTGCACCCACAAAAAACGGCCTTTAGCAATTGTATTTTAAATTAAATGTAATTTCTAATAAATGTTGGCATCAGTAGTTTAATTACATATTTTAAAATAATTAGAGCAATGTACAGGACTGTCTCCGAAAATTAGAATATGGTGATAAAGTTCTTTATTTTCTGTAATGCAATTAAAAAACATGAAATGTCATACATTCTGGATTCATTACAAATCAACTGAAATATCGCAAGCCTTTTATTGTTTTAATATCGCTGATTATGGCGTACAGCTGAAGAAAACTAAAAAATCCGACATTCTAATATTTTGAGATAGAATATTTGGGTTTCTTAAGCTGTGAGCCATAATCAGCGATATTAAAACAAAAAAAGGCTTGCGATATTTCAGTCCTAAACTGTGGAACTCTCTGCCCACCGAGTTACGTTCATTTACTGACCTGCCACTGTTCAAAGCTCACCTTAAAACGTATTTGTTCAGGATGGCTTTCTGCACGTAGGGTCTCTGTATACTGGGTTCTGTCACCGATGTGTTTGTCTTTGTGTATTATTTTGTCTTGTTCGATAGTTTGATCTGTTTTTTTATTCTGTTAAGCACTTTGAT